CAAATGAAAATTAAATCAGTTTTTGAAGTGAAAAAAGTTACGAAATTCTATTGATATCTATGTATTTCAAAATTAAGTATTATCCATATGACTTGATTAAAATTACATTCAAAATTTTTATCTTTCAAAATTTCACCTAAAATTTATTCTTTAGTAAAAATTTTTATTTAGAAAAATCAAATGAAATATTTAAATTTGTTACTTTTTCCACCATCATCGCTGAGTTCTTCCCTGCACTTTTGTTCTTTACCTATGATGAAATTATTCGATAGAGTATAATCGAAGGATTCACATATTATGGAATTTTGAATTTTGATGGCATTAGAATAGCGCCACCATTACTTTCTTATTTGAATGGAAGAAAGGTAAGTAAAATTACAAGCATTAACTAATTCAACTGATGAATGATTTTTGAAATTTGTCAAAGGATGCAATCCAGAATGTAATTCACATTTGTCAAAAACAGCAATATGATTATCTATTTTAAAGTTTAAAATTAAAAATTCAATAAGCATTTACAGTCAAATGCCGAATCTCCCATTTCATAGTAGGCACTGACCAGATTTTTACGATAATACAAAATACCAACTCCATATTTACTTTTTGTTTCAGCGATACAATCGAGTGCTACTATTACTGATTTCAGATGTCGCGCAAACCTATTTATATTTGATTAGCAATAAATTACAAATTTCCTCATTATAATTTGCATTATTTAAATACTTAAATATTACGCATTATTAATGGCATAATAATAATTAAAATATATCAATAAATTCACACTTTTATTATTAAAAAAAATTTACCATCTAATTATTCCATGATTAAGAGCCATAAGATCCTGATACTCATACGGTTCAATCCAGTAACCAGTAACTTTACGTACTTTATCAATGAACAATTTCGTTCCTATCCTCTACAATAAATTATTTATCAAGGGAAATTCAGTTTTTCGCTTTATTATCTTTGGATTCATCTTCCTCATTCTTGCTTTATTCTATTTTTTAATCAAATACCGTAATAATCCTTATAGCTTAATAATAAATCTAAAACCAAAGTATCCTATTCATATTATGATAATTATTATTTTGATTATGATGAAGTAAATAGAACGAGAGTTGAGGCAGATAAATACGTCAATTAAAGCATAGATAATAGTTATGATAATTAATTAAATGATGAATTAACCATTTATGGTAGTAATTTTCCTCGATTTCATAATCATTTATTACTAAACATGTAATTGATTGTACCATGCTTTTCAAATTCAGTATCGTAAGAATGATTTCAAAATTTGAAAAATTAAAAAGGTGGAATTTCATTTGTTTTTTTTCAGTTGTTTAAAAAATAAATCTTTTTTTTTTTAATTTATATTTTACTATCATTATTCAGGTAATTTGAGTACTCGAAATAATTTAAAACTGTATGATTAATTGCAATTTCGAAATGAGTGAAAAGAATTCCATTTGTTGCGTAAATAAATTTGTAAATAAAATGAAATATACGAAACATCGACGATATGGAAGCATGAAGATTACAGGGAAAGTGAACTAAGGAAGGAATGAGGCATGCTCATTTTTCAATTTATCGATGTTTTTTGTATCATTCACATTCATCGATGAAATGTCAAAGGTCAATAAATCATTTAGAAAATTAGGGCAAGAATAATTATGTGGTAAACCAATAAATTTGACAGCATAATACTTCAGATATTTCAACTTTTGCTACTAAAACGATTGCTGACCCTTAGATGATTCTATTAGAGTTAATGATGATATTCCACTGAATGAACTTACAAAACGATACAATTTCATCCGAAATTTTTTAGCAATTAAATCAAGGCAAGAAATCTTAGCTTACTTACTTATTCGTTTGAAAAAAAAAAACTTTTTTTTCTAAATCAACAAATATATGCTATACAACGAGAAATGAACAGTTGTTTAGGTGTGTAAATTTGATTTTGAATGGAAATTAACAATTAACTTACTCCAAAAGTAATTTGATATGATCCTATGCGACCTTCACCTGTCTGACGCAAAAGAATTTCACTGTCACCGACTGTTTTAAAATTGAAATGATATGTGGCCAAATCGGAGAAATACATCAATGTTATAAATTTTGCTTTATGTACAATTTTCGTCCATGTTGGTGCAAATACCAATCGAAATGCATTGAAATATGACAGACGTGTAAGCGTGTACAGTTTACCCGGACTGAAAGCTATTTCTTGCCAGACAGTTAGAAATTGTAATAAACCGTGTACTTCAATTAGCATTGCCTGAAGAAAAAAATTTTTTTTTATTACGAATTTATAAAAAATTTTTTTAATTATGAATTTTTTTTATTTTTTTTTACTACGAACATATTTTAAGAAAACTAGTGAACATTATCAAATTTATATACTTAAAAAAAAATGAGAACAATTGCAATAGATGATCGATCAAAGATCACGACAGTTATTTCTGAGAGATTGGTAAATTTTAATACTGGTAGTTTGATTTTTTTCTAATTGATAAAAATTTATTTGCATTCATTTTTTAATGCATAACTTTCACTTTCAACTCTTTATTATTCTTTTTCCGCTATACCCAAAGTTAGCAAAAGTATTTTTCATGCATAATTCAACATACTAAATTTTAATAGTATTAGATAAACTTAAAAAAGCATATTTTTCGGTTTAAAAAAAATGATTATTTTCTATCATTTGCTTATTCGCTTAATTCTTGAAAAGATCAGCATTTTTCAATATTTACTTAATAGCCGAAGAGATCAGTATTTCCTACTACTTACTTTTTTACTTAATTCTTGAAAAGATCAGTATTTTCTAATATTTAACTATCTACTTAATTTATTACTTACTGAATCTTTGCTGTAATTTAAAAACAATAGCTGTTTCATTAATTGGTCAAATACTTCTCTGTTCATGCACTTTTTTTTTCTCTTTATTGTTTTATATTTTAAAACTGCATCGCACATAGAAATAATTGTCAAGAAAATGAAAGATCTCAAAATGATTCAAAAATCACTTACACCGTAATGCTTAATATTACTTCCCGGTATTGGGTGTGTATCGGCATCCAACAATTTGGAAAATTCCTTCGCGCTTTAAATTGTAACAACTTTAGAAGTGTAATTTAACAAATCAATAATACATGAAATTGATTGGTTAAATAATTTGTTAAATTAGTCAGCAGCTTAAAATTTGTTAATAAATTGGCAAATTGCTATTCTTGATTAGCTTGTTTATTAAGGATAATTTTTTCGTTCTGATTTTTAATAGTCCAGCGATGTAATATTATTTCATATAGTAGAAAAAGTTTGCAGATTATTAATATTTAAATTACTCTCTTCCTTTTCTACAATTTTAACTTTTACTTCTTCTCCTTCATCTTTTCCTAAATTATTAATATCAACTACATTTAGATCCTTCTTGATTAAATGCTTACCATTTGAATAATTATTTAAATTTTTAAAAAAATAAAATGATTTAATTCTAAATAGAGAAACATTCTTACATTGATTCATTACGTGCAATATTACTCGGTAAAAGGAGAATACTTTTATCTTCACGTAATCCATATATGACATAGTCCGGATCGGGAAAAGCCTAAAGCAAAAAATGTTTAACTGACTTAAAGTGAAA